AATTAAGTAAGTTGATGATTAACACTGACTGAAACGGAACACTTTTCTAAAAAGTGTCCCATTAACTGAAGATAATTCTGGAACGTACTGATCTTCATCTCCTGATTGACTATTGATCTTCTGTCTGAACGTTGAGTGTGGAACTCCCCGTCGTAGGTACTCCCGGAAAATTTCAGAGACACGCACATGTACAAATGAGGGTAACTAGCAATTCTGGCAACTACCTTTCATGAGTGTCTACTCGATACGCGGCACATCGTTCGCGGCACATTGTAATGCGGCACATCCGCTCCTCATCAAGTGAGTGCGGCACGCCTGCATACAGCACCTGGCGAAAATTGTACCTGCGATGTCGATGTAGTCTGTATGGCTGATCATATCTGTATCTCAGCTAATAACCTCAATGTACTATAATGCTAACTCTCCGTAATCTCCCGGTGTACTAGGACTCACATGGTATGGCATCCTGCTCTTCTGGCGTCATGCACCTTTGAATATAAAGCTCAGTTGTCACCCTGGCATGATCTGTTGTTGTTGTTTGGTCTTCTCCGCCGTGTCGTATGTCGACAGGTTGTACCTGCAACTGTTTACCTTTCCTGAGGTTAACTTATCCTCAAGAAAAGTTTATCATGAACTGATCTTTCCTACGAGTTCTCAAATTATCTGTATTTGAGAATCGAGGCATTGAACATACTGAAATGACTGATAAGTCTTGTCTTATTAGACAGACTATCTGGGCTTTGACATGACTGGCTTTAACATTTACATAAATGAATAATCATGACTTGACTTTTATATGGCTGAGTCACCTTTAACTGAACTCTGAAAGCTATCCCAAGACAACTAAATGGTCGCCTCAGAATTTAGAACATGAAATTTACTGAATTACTTGACTTGATAAGGAACGACTTCAAGTTTCCAGGAAAAATTGGATTAATAGTCTGTATTACAGATCTCCACATTTAACCCGGCTAAACAACTATTATACGTCGACCTTACATCATGAACATTGACTTTAACTCTTGAATACTGACTCATGACGATGTACTGTATAGGGCTACTCCAGTAACAACTGGTCCCGCAAGTACAAAGGAATTAACTGATCTTGAACTGTAAATATCATGACTTGAATTATCCTGACTGATAAAATACATGACATGACTGACTGAAAAGGCTGTTATTACATGAAATCATACTGCTCCGGTCCCAGCTTCAAGCCTCCATGGTATACCCGGCTGAATGGCTCTTATTTCAAGCCTCCATGGTAACCCGAATTATTGATTCTTATACACTGGAAACCGTTACCTCAACATTAACTTGAAAATTATAACAACCTTTAACGTGAAAATTTCTGCCTTGAACATGATTTACTGATCTGACTTAAGAAATTTGAGTCTATTCCTTGATCTAAATCAAGGAATTCCTCCTTGAAATCTGCCAATTAGTTGTCAAAATTGACAATTTTCAATAGAAAATATCTGAAGAACATGATTGCTATGATTTGTACAACATAACTGCTTACAAATCTCTTAACGGATCACTAACTGAACTTGAATAAATCTAGAATTGAATCTAGAGTTATCAATCTAAGGTTCCGAATTTGATTTGATAATCCTTACTGATGACTTTATTGAAACTGATCAATAAAGCACACAAATTTCTTAACGAGTCGCTAAATGTGGCTGGGAAAATACTGACATGAAATCCCGAGTATACTGACTACTGATCTTAAACATGATTCAAGCATCTTAACTTAATCATAACTTTAAGTTTCTGAGCATAGAAATAGTAAATTGTTTATAATTTAAAACATGAATCAGCACTTACCTGGTAGTCGGCGAGGCGTGAGCGTGACGTATTCGGGTTTTCGTAAAATTTCTGACTCATGAAAACTTTCAGAGACGCAAAAACGTTGCTCTGATACCAACTGTAACACCCCGCCTTAGCATGAATATCAGAGTGCGCAATTCGCAATTATATTGAGAATAAAACGTTTTACATTGTGAAATACTTATTCGGAGTGCTACTAAAATACATAACTGAATGATAAATCTGAGCTTATGGTTTTGAAAAACCAACTAACAGCTTGCTGACTGATTA